ATTTTATCTCCGAACTTCGCATCTTTCATAAAACAAAATGAAAAACAATCCTCCGTTTTCAGCGTCTTTCCAGACTTTTGTACAAAAACACTCAAATAATGCAGAAACACAACAAAACAAGAAGAAACTTGTCAGGTAATTTTCACCGACATTTAGCTTTTATTTGGGTTTCAAAAAAACACAGCACAGACAAATTAAACGCACCGTTACAATAGCGAGGTGTACTTTACTGACGAGAACAGAATGGCCGAACAGTGAAAATGAAAACATCATGCAGGATGAGGTCTCAAATGTGGTCTGAAAGCAGAATATACAGCAGCAGAAGCTTAAATTCATCTACATTATTGTGTCTATAAACTACAACCATAAACTAAACAGCATCATAGTTCTTAGAATAGTGCAAATCTAAGCAAAGCAACGAAAACCGCAGGCATGAGGGAACACTTTCTAACATTCACCGAAGTAAACAGCTGCTCAACACCGACTAAAAGCTTCGATATTCACTTTAAAGGAACGGAAGTGGTCAACACTACTCCAACACAATCAACAGTGCAAGCGTGGCAGTAAGTAAGGTGATATTGTACTTTTGTTGTTGTGACGAGAACATCTGTTAGAGCTTCACGTTAATGGACATTAAAGACGACGATTGTGTGTTCGAGTGTGAAAAACGAGTCACCCGTCATCGTCCGGTGAGAACTAAATGTGCAACTCAGAGCTGAGATAACAATCAACCGCTGCTTTTTACACGACAAACGATCACGTGCACACCAGGCTCCTTTAGCACTCTTTGGAAACTCAAGTGACTAAACATCTACTTTTGTTTTGGATGGTTTAAGGTCAATTTGTAGTTGGCAAATCTAAAAGATCACAAGATCATTCAGGTGGTAGGAAAAAAAAACGTTTTAAAATAAAAAAGGGAAAACCACTCTTTGGTTACTTGTATTTGACAAAAAAAATATGGCACCACTTTACAATAAGGATCCAGATCCAGCCCATAGCCATCATTTCCAAACCCCACCCGACCCGACGAATCAGCAGTAATTACAGGTCCAAACCCAGAAAAAACCTTGACATTTTTAATTAAGCTTTAACTAATAGTTACTAACGGTCAGTGGATGTGCGGACCGCGGTAAAGTTAGTTTTACGTTGGACGTTGGACATGCGAGCTCTGTGGCTTCAGCGGTGTGTTCCTCTCGTTCGAGTTCGGTTGACCGAAATCAGACTGCCTGCATCGGATCAATGAGGGGAACACACCGCTGAAGCCACGGAGCTCGACCGTCCAACGTAAAACCAACTTTACCGCGGTGACACGCGGCTGAATAAAAGGTGCAGAAGATCGGAGCTGAGGGGGTGTTTGTCCTTTCATGGACGTCAAAGAGCATTAAATCCCTGTTTCTGCCTGCATTCTGCATTATTCAGACACGGACCCTGCTCTGACATGTCTGCTTTGAGATCTCACCTGTTTGGGTCGTCGGCCGCGTGCGTCCGCTGTGCAGCGGCTGAATGAACGGATCATCCACTCCCTGGCAGTACAGTCCTATCTGAAGCTTAACTGAACTTTATTTTACCTCTTTCAAGGCCGGTCAGTTTGAGGTGAAATGGCCACATGCGACTGGTGAAAGTATGGCAAGCCATGGCGTCATATAATTGGACTTTATGGCAAGCCATGTTGTCATATAATTGGATTGCGGCTGATCCGCTGACGCAATCAAAAGCCAGACACCGACACGGCCCGCCCATCCAGCACATTATCATGGCCAGGCCTGACCAGAATTAGGGCCAGGCCGGGCTTCGGGCCTGGGTTAGAAATAACAGCTCTACATTATTAATTCCTCTATAAACACTTTATAAATCATTAATAATTGTTTATTATGCATTAATTAAGGGTGACAGAGACAAAACTGACCAGTTTCTTGCCAAATAGTGATTCAAATCTGTTCACCTATATATTTCATCTAGAGTTGTTCTATTAAACATTTCACACTAAGTTACTACCTTGTAAGCACAATAAGCATTTGTAAACCTATTTCTTTGGCATATAGTACTGTATCTACAACTAATATTATATGCTAAAGAAATAGGTTTACAAATACTTATTGTGCTTACAAGGCTTATTGTAAAGTGGTACCAAAGATAATAGTATGGTTGTTTATAAGTTAATTTAAACGATTAGAATTCCAAATAGCTTTTTTTTTTTTTTTTTGGATGAATCACATCACTAATTGGTACCCATTTCTAAAAACCATATAAAAAAGACAAATGTTAAACCAGCAGAACAAAGTAGATGTTAATGAAAGTAAAACTCCTGGGAGAGTTGTAGTTGGTGCAAAGATTAGCTGGTCAACGCATTCATTGTTAGCTTAGCGTTAGCGCTAACGTTTTACAGCGAAATTACTTTTTAAGACGAAGCTAAAAGTATAATAACACTGAAAGAAGAAGTCCTGCAACTCCCGTATATCTTCCTAATAATATATATATTTAACGCAACACTTAGCAGCTATTGTTTGATCAGCATACCAGCTCTGATACAAAAAATAATAATACAGAGGCACGCATGGCGCTAACAAACACGTTAAAAGTGTGCGATGCAATGAATGTAAATTATTGCTTTGGCTGATTCAACAATGGTCATAGTGTCACATTCAGTAAATAAAACAGAATCAAACAATCGTGAGGATGATTAAACATTCAAAAGCAAAAAGTGCAAAACACAATACTTTGTCTACATTAACTTGTCGTGTTAAAATAAAACGGTCAAAATATTCAGCTCAAGAGAAAGATCCTTATGATTTTAAGATGTGAACCTTATTCAACATCCTAAACTCGAGACTAAGAAGTCAAAGGTGGTTTTGTTGACATAAAAAATACATTTATAATCTACAGCAGCTTGATAATACAGTCAAAAATAAAAGTTAGGTTTCAGTCAGTGCCACTGACTTTTAACAACTAATCACTTAAATGTCAGATCTTTTAAGGAAGGATTCTGTGGAAACAACTAATATCTGTTGTAGAGTCTTTGAATAATCTCAGATTGGAGAAACAGTTAAATTCTGACCAGATTAACGCGTTAACATCTAATCCGAGCAAGACCGGAGGGGATCACTTCCCTTTTTAAAACGACTCCAATCTCCAAAATTTCTAAGTAAAGTAGTCCCTCGCTTATCGCGCGGGGCGCTTCGTTCCAGACACCAGCGACAGATGAAAATCTGCGAAGTAGGGACGTTATATTCATTTTAGCATTTATATACATATTAAGGCTTTATAAACCCTTCACACCCTCTTGCAATGTTCTTAAGAATGTTCTAAACAAATTGAACGTAGTGAATACAAGTTAAAACGTTCTAAAAGTCGATGTTTCTTTACATATTTTGTAGCATTGCTTGTGGATTTGTGAGGGGGGTCTCGACCAGAAGCTAATGCTCCTTGGGGGTACATGGTGTGAAAAAGTTTGGGAACCCCTGTTCTAAACGCTCTGAACGAGCACATTGGAAGAGAGCAGACAGACTGATGCTACGGTTACTGAGCCAATCAGGACACAGAGCGCAACGCTGTGGTTGGTCGCCCTCCATCAATCAGCCAATCGTGTGTCGTGCACAATCTTACGTTGAAAACCCGAAAGTCGGACTGCGAAGTACCGAGGGACTGCTGTATTTTATGCAAACACAATTTTAAATTTATTCATATTAAATTTAAACACTTTATTTTCAACTTAAAGTTAGCTGGCAGGAGATAGCAGCTGCTACTGCTCTTTACGCTAACGAATAACTAAAAAGATTAAAGTGAACCACTGCCCAGTGTGAAACTGACAGCAGTGTGAAAGTTGATCAAATATTTGCACAAACCACTTCAACATATTGGGAGTTTACAGCTGTTTTAAGACGGCAGTAGTCCGCTTTAATCAAAGTAGCCGTTAGCTCGTCAATTTGGACACAATTCAGCCGTTTTTCCAAACTGAGGATGTTCAAAGACCTATCTTCATCAGTTAACACGTGAATTTCTATAGACTTTGCGCAGAAATCCACTTCAAAAGATATAACTTATCCTTCAAACTCCATATTTGTACCATATATTTCAATATTCGACAGCTACCGCTCGTCTCGTAGCCATAAAGCTAACTATCATCGGCTGAAATCCAGAACGTATTTTGTGGGTGGTGGAAAAAGTAAATTAGGTTTATATTTAAAATAAACGTGTTTAAAGCTGAGGTGAAACAGGCGTGAGACAATCGTGAGTTTTAAAGCAATATGACGGTGTGATGCAGCCTCGTCGTGCACAGCTACAATCGCTATGGTCGTCTGTGATGCTGGTGGTCGGACGCTGCGGTGAAGGTAGAGGCAGTGTGGGTTTATGTCTTCGTGTTGTGGACTTGAACTTGTTGTGGTTTCAGGTTTAAGCCTTGACTTTGTCCTCTGGATTATCAGGTTTCCAAGTTGTGTTCTCGGAAGCTCACAAATAAATCAAAACCAGGATAACACGAGAGGAGAAAATGTTAAACCAGGGGACAAAATCATGACATAAATGCATGTTTTTATGTAAATAATTATCTTTTAGGGTAAACACTTGGGTTAGGATGAAGGCCCTGTCCACATTAATCCAGCAATTTTGAAAAAATGTTTTCTTTTTGTTGCATTTGCAGTTCTCATCCACATGCAAACTGCATTTTAGTGGGAAAAAAGTTGCAAAAACTGTAGAAAATTAAAGTGTTAGAAAATTACTGATGTACTTGGCAGAGATTTTGGGGGGAAACGATGACTTGGCACCCCGGTTTACTGTCCGTAAACTTTTAAGCAACACTTTGTCACAAAATGATGGATTTTTTTAAACCAGTTTTGCCAGTACATTTTGTTCTGATTTTGTTGCCAGTAAACTTCTGTTGTCCTGAAATGGTTAGTTTTTTAAAACAATATAAAAAGAACTACAGTACATTTGTTTTGGGAGAGTCTCGAGTTGAGTTCAGGTTGAGTGTTTTAACTATTCAGTTAACGTTGTTGCCACGATCTGACCTTGCGTAGTTTAGTTTCCAGCTCTTCTCTGGAGCAAATTTCTTAAAATTTTTCAAATGGAGAAAAAAAAATACAAATTGAAAAAATTAACCGGTCTAGTGTAGACATGGCCTAAGACGAGATTTGGTGCAGGTTTAATGTGTTTAGTGGTTTGTTGGCAGTGACGCGACATGATGTTGGCTGGAAAGTCTCCTCCGGTATGTGCAGCAGTTTGAGCCGTGATTGGAACTTTTTTAAATTATTATTATTTCGTATTTTTGTCCGAACACCCGTTCGATATCTCTGTGAGGATGTGAGGGACACAGTGACGGTGTGGAGTTTAGAGGTTGACCAGATGGAGGTCGGAGGCAGAGAAGTGGGGACACAAGGCCGTGTCCGGGTTCTTCAGCTGCCTCAGGATCCTCTTGTGGAACTTGGAGCGGACCCTGTTGAACTCCATGATGTCGCTCGGATCCTCCTCGATCCAGAAGCGGTGGAATTCCTGCATCAGGTAACCTGCCGCAAAAAAAAAGGTTGCATTCTTACTGCAGAGACAGATGTTTTCATATACTGTATTTTTCGGCCTATAAGTCACAGTTTTTTGCATAATTTACGTGCCCTGCGATTTATACACCAAATCAACTTATTATGGATTTTTCCCACATTTATAAACCAATTGTTGGAAGGGATATGACCGTTTTCATTCATTCTGACTGAAAATATTGAACACTACCATTTTCAGCTGCTAGATGGCACTCGAGAACTGTGGCATGCCATTGTGTCATGTAATAGGTAAAAGTGGCTATTAATGACACAATCGGCTTGCCATAGCCTGCCACCTTCGTCCAGCTCGCCTGCAGCAACTGTCAAACCAGCATCATTTTGCTGCACCTCCCTGGCAAAGTGCAGCTAATTTGATCATTGTAGTGCATTTATTAAGTAAAAGTTAAACTGAGACACACCTTTACTATAAAGTCGAGCAAACAAATAATTGTTTTTAGGTGGTTATCTTGTTAAATTTCGAAGAAATGCACAGCGAGTCATCCCTCTGCGCGCTCCTGCTTCCGAAAATCTATTTTTGAAAATGCAGCTGATTTGACCGTTAAAGTGCATTTATTAAGGAAAAGTTAGACTGAGACACACCTTTACTATAATTTCGAGCAAACAGATAATTGTTTTCAAGTGTTAATCTTGTTAAAGTCCTCCCGTGCACGCTCCTGCAGCCCCCATTTGGCAGCCAATCGATTTTTGGCCCAACACCGGCCCACATTTTCGGGTTGTCAGTGGTGATGCGTAATAGATGCGACTTAAACTTATTCATGGATTTTTCCACTTTATTTGACATATTTGGACTGATGTGACTTATACGGCGGTGCAACGTGTATGGCAGAAAATACGGTAATTGTTTATTTCTAACCATTTAATTTATCATCAAGTCCATTAAATGGCCGTCGTAGCAGATTAGACAAAACAAAACGTCTGATAAAGTTTATTCGTATCTGCCCAGCTCCAACTTTACAAAACTTAGTTTTCAATCCTACAAGTTTCAACTTGAAATACTCAAATAACAGACAGTGAGGTGGAAGTTTAAATTTATTTCTGCTAAAACTGTAAACCTTACTCAACCTCCACAAACAAACACTTTACTCCCTCAGAATATAAAGTTTGTTGAACTGTGCTTTTAGATTCCTTCTCCTTCCTCTCTGCTGTGCTTCAGCTCTAACACACCCCTCTAAAAAACTTTTCTTGGCTGTGCACGTCAGCCACTTCCACGTTTAAGATTTCATCTGGAGTACACTTTAAATATGAAGACAGGCAGGTTTGGATCAGGTTTTTAGAAAACTGTCTTTTTTACAATCGACTTGTTAAAGTCGAGCGACAGGGCTCTGCATTTCTGTTTGTTTTCATTTAAGATGTTTCTTGCTGGTCAGTGTTTCATAATGAAAAACACAAATGAGGCAAAACAACAGAAGACAAACACGTCAGAGTTTGCAGTAATTTCCTCCCCATGTGTAATATAATTGTTCTTTTTAAATCTACTCACAGAAGGTCTGCTGGAAGTGCAGCAGGTTGGGCGTCTCGGGGGCCACGTTGTACAGGTGAGTCTTGAGAGCGCCGCTCACCAGCAGGGAGTAGGCCAGGTCTGTGATGTTGATGCCCACGATGGCAAAAGAGTAGCTGGAGGGAGGCGGTGACAAGTCAGAGCTGGCATTTCCACAAGCCGTTAACATTCAGTCTGTGTTTTCAGTTTGGAGGATTTCAGTGATTTATAACAAACAAGATGCAGAAAAACAACCGACGGTTAGGTTTGTCCTGCGCAGGCTTCCGTAAAAGCATGGTGGAAAAAACACCAAAATAATGTATGCACTCTGTAGATGAAAGTTAATTTCAAGCCAACTAAAGCAACAGTTTGTGCTGTCAAACAATATCGACCAATCTGTTTACATAATTACACAAATATTACATAAATGACATAATTTCATAAACGATTCCTAAATTATAATACGTTGCACAAAGGTTAAATCTGATCTTGACAAATTTTGAGGAAACCCAAACAGTCTGCAAGTTTCATTAAAAAAATACACTACATGAAATACAACTTTGTAATAAAAATATGGATATAAATTAAACTAAATTTATTAATAAAAAATAACAACAATGACAGAGCCGGGGGCCTTTCTGGGTGGAGTTTGCATGTTCTCTCCGTGCATGTGTGGGTTTTCTCCGGGTACTTCGTTTTCCTCCCACAGCCCAAAAACATGCATGTTAGGATGATTGGTAACTCTAAATTGTCCCTAGGTGTGAGTGAGAGAGTCAATAGTTGTTTGTCTTGTTTGTCTCTGTGATGGACTGGAGACATGTCCAGGGTGTCCTACGCCTCTCGCACAGTGTTGACTGGACATGGCACCAGTGACCCGAAAAGGCAGAAGTAGGTAAAGATAATGGATGGATGGATGGATGGATGGATGGATGGATGGATGGATG